CAGTCGCCGCCGCCCGCCTGGCAGGGCCTCGCGGCACGGGGGCTCGGCGGCGCCGCAGTCCCAGCCGGTCCGCGAGCCATGGCCCAGCCCGGCGAGGAGGCTCTATCCAGGCCCGAGACGGCCGTGCAGATCCGCGTCGCCATCCAGGAGGCCGAGGACGTGGAGGAGCTGGAGGAGGAGGAGGAGGGGGCGGACACGCGGGTCGCTGGGGACCCGGCTCGGTATCTCAGTCCCGGCTGGGGCAGCGCCAGCGAGGAGGAGGCGAGCCGCGGGCACAGGTAGGCGCGGGGCGCGGGCCTGGCTGGGGAGAGGGGTGCCGTCCCGTGGGGCGCCGGGCCGCAGCCTCGGATCCTCGAGCCCCGGCGGAGTGAGTTCGGGGAGCTGACGATGCTCGACAGCTTGGCAGGCAGAGGGGGTCTGAGTCCGCTCCCCGCTAGGGAAGCAGCCCTTGGGCCGTCTGAATGGGTCAGAACCCGGCTTTCGCCATTGTCGCAACCCGGGTCCGCAGTTTGGTAACGGGACCAAGGCTTCCAGGGCGGACAGCGGAGCTCTGAGGGGCCTGGACTTGGGGATACTCTAGGATCCAGAGGAAGCCCTCTCTGGGGCATCTTCGCCATCTCCTTCTCACCGAGAGCTCACCCGAAGACACACAACACGGCCCATCCCAGCCTGGTCTTCACCCCTGAGGCTGACCCGCAACCCCGTGCGAGAGGATCCCCGTACCCTTCACTGTCCTGATCGGCCTGTCTCCTCATCAGTCCAAATGGCTTCGCTCAGTGTCTGGATGGTGGGAGGTCAGGCACAGCTAACACTTGCTGATGGGGGATCCACCAGGAGCGATTCTCGTGGTGTAAGGGGGCTCTCTTGTTCTGATTTAAGATTAGTTCAGGGCTTGCTGCTTGCATCCCCTCCCCGCCGCCACTCCCCGCCATGGGGATTCCCGTTTTCACGCAGCCTTCTCCACCTGACTTCTATGCCTGCATCAACATCTTGCTACCTTGGGGTTGGGTTTCTGGGTGATGGGTGTCTGGAGCTTCTATGACACCTGTAACCTTGCCTCTGGACTGTAGGCTTTGTCATCAGCCACACACCTTAGGCTGTGGTCCACTAATGCCCAGGCCCTTCTGAAATGTGGTTTTGTTCTTGCTGTGGAAGAAAGATACATTATGGAGTATCCACAGGAATGAGAGTGGGCAGTAACAGAACTTGCACATTCTGGCAAATGCCAACAGGCATTTATTAAGAGCCCTCTTTCTTCCGGGATTCTGTGTCCAGGCTTTTAGCTGTCACGACTCTGCAGGATAATTTCCTGGCAGGCCTAGATCTACTTCATTGGCAGAATACTGAATTCAAGGGTACAGGGGCCCTGGGGCCAGAGCCATTCCCCATCACTGGCCGGCCCTTCCCAGTGGAAAGGGTCAGGACTTTGGGACCCAAAGATTCCGAGTAATCCATTGGCGACAGGGCTGTTCGAGTTGAGAAGCCCAGTCCAACAGTGTAGGGCAGGAAAGCTGGACCACAGTACGTGGCACAGCAGATATATCAGCACTTTACATACCGTAAAGCCTAATTCATTCATTCATTAAGCTCTTTGCTAAGTATTGAGATGATAGCAGTGATGAATCCATAGTCACTGAGCTTGAGCAGCTCACAGTTTTGAGGAGAAGATAAACACCTACTCAGATAATTTCAGAGCTCATGGTAAAATAGCCCGCGTGGTTTATCTTTCTGACTTTATTTGCCTGTGACTACGGCGAAGAGTGAGAGTGGTGCCCTGGCCTGGGGTCTGAGTTTTGGGGATTGTACCATTAACCTGTTGCTGTCGAGTTGATTCCGACTCATAGCGACCCTATAGGACAAGGTAGCACTGCCCCATAGGGTTTCCAAGACTATAATCTTTACGAAAGCAGCCACATCTTTCTCCTGAGGAGCAGCCAGTGGGTTTGAACCGCTGACCTTTTGGTACGCAGACGAGCGCTTAATCACTGCACCACCAGGGCTCTTTATTGTACCATTAGCAGAGACTAAAGCCCTGTTTATTTCTTGGGCCTGGAAAGATGCTGATCCTCAGTACTGGTGGGCCTCTTGCCCGCACCTTTCCCATTCTCACCTCCAGAGCTGCCCTTCTTCTCTCTCAGCTCCAACAGCTTGAGTCTCTTGGAATGTTCAATCTGAAGCACTTCCTGCTGCCCACTGGCATAGAGTTGACCCCTGAAAGCCCCTGGGGCTCTTCAGAGTAGGGGAGCTGACGGAGCTCAGCCAGCAGCGATCCAGAGCACCAGGAGACCCAGCCAAGTATGGGATCCACACCGTCTCTGCTTGGGCCCAGTCTGGCACAGCAGCAGTGACTGCCCCGTGTGAGCATTTCATGGCTCCTGGAACCTACAGAAGAAAGCCCTGGTTCCTAAACCTGCTCGTTATGTGGCACATCATCCCCTCAACTCACTGCTTGCTTCCTCGCCTCTCGACATTTCATGCTCTAGTGGAACCATCCCCTTCTAGCTCCCTGAGCGCAGCATGCCTTTGCATTCCTACCTTTAAGTTCCTCTGATTGATTGATTTCCAAACAAAAACCCGTTGCCATGGAGTGGATTCCAACATGGTGAACTCATGAGCTGCAGAAGAGTAGAACTGCTCCTCAGGAGTGACATAAACTATTAAGTACTGGACTACTAGCCAAAAGGTTGGTGGTTCGAACCCACCCAGAGGCGCCTTGGAATACAGGCCTGGTAATCTGCTTCCGAAAGGTCACAGCCTTGAGAACCCTATGGAGCAGTTCTACCCTGCACCCATGGGGTCGCCATGAGTTGGAATCGACTCAAGGGCAACTGACAACAACAATCTTTATGGAAGCCATTCTTCCAAGGGGCCACTGGGTGGGTTCAGACTGCCATCCTTTAAGTTAGCAGTCCGGCGCAAACCAGAGGGAGCCTTTGAAACTTCACTGCCTCTGCTGTACCACCCCCAGCTCCTGCCTCAAAGCTGGATTTGTTTTCTCGCCTCTGTTGCTGTAGTACTCTTTATATTTCATGTCTAGCACTGAAACCACATTTGTAATTAGAGTTCTTTTTCATGGAGAATTTGAGTTCCAGGAGTTCAGGGACCATGCCTGCTGTGTTCTCATTGTATCCTCATCACCCAGCACAGCACCCAGTACTTGGTAGAAGCTCTGTAAACATTTCTTGAATGAATGCGTATCTCCATCATTGTACTCACTCCACTGTGTTGAAATATTTGTGCATTTCTCTTGCGCTAGACAGTGAGATCCTTAAAGACGGTGACCTTCCTGATTCATCTCCGTATCTCCAGTACTTAGCCCAATATCTTGCTTATATCAGGGGGACAAGGAATAAATGACCAATAAGGAAAAATCTTTACAACCTCCAAGTGTTCATTAGTCTTCTCTCTGCATTCACTAAAAAGGTGTCTTTCTGTTTATTCTCAACTTTTTAACTTAAAAAATTTCAAACATGAAGAAAGTGTGAAAGAATAGTACTGTGAGCATTCATATACCCGCCATCTAGATTTAGCAATTGCTGATGTTTGCTAGGAGCTCTGGTGGTGCAGTGTTAAGCACTCAGCTGCTAACTGAAAGGTCAGCTGCTAACTGAAAGGTCGGTGGTTCGAACCAATCAGCTGCTCCACTGGAGAAAAGACCTGGTGATCTGTTCCCATAAAGACTACAGCCTAGTGTTGTAGAGAAAAACTTGAAGCTGTTTCAAGTTGAAATAGAAGTTTATTAAGGGTTTAAAACAATTGCAGTTGGGGAACCACATAGCCCGTTAAAAATGGAACCAGGTAGTCACGGGGCAGTTTTGCAATACAAGTATTCTGATGGGGTAAAAAGAGGAACCAAACCACAGGAAGGGCAATTACAGGAAAATCAATGAATATTGTAATAATCGCACTGATTGATTACTGATTATTAACAGGTGTAGTTAGTGATTACAGATAGTTTCACACGATGCTTAGATCACGGTCACAAGATGCTTCCATGTAGTTTCTTTGTCTGTCTTGCAAAAATGATCTTGTTGGCAACAGCACCCAGACAGTACTCTCTCTGAGTACGTGTATTTTGAAGGGTGCAGAGGGTCACTTGGGGCGTATGATTTCACATCCTGGTTTTGACCACCGAGGAAAAACATGTTTTTCTCAAAAAATATAGCTGTTAGTCTAGAAATCCAGATTAAAACGAGACAGCATGGTGAGCATATTATGCCTCCATCTCACTGACTGCACTGAAAGTTAACTTTTCCTGAGACACTTGGAACCCCTATGGGGCAGTTTGACTCTGTCCTGTAGGGTCACTATGAGTGGGAATTGACTTGACAGCATACAACACAATATTTTGCTATATTTTTTTGATGGCTATATAATGTACGTGTTTCTCTAATCATTTGAGAGTATATTGTATATAATACTTATACCCCAAATACTTCATTATTCACCTCTTAATAATGACATTCTCTGACAAAACCATAATACTGTTATTGGAATTAAGAAAATTATCTTTAATTCCCAAATGTAATCCCTAATATAATCTAAACGCAAGTTTCAAATTCAAGTTTCCCTAATTGTCTTTTAAAAAAATTTTTTTTATTGTACTTTAGATGAAGGTTTACAGAGCAAATACTTTCTCATTAAACAGTCAGTACACACATTGTTTTATGACATTGGTTAACAACCCCACGACAACCTTGGAAGAACTTTTTTTTTGGTGAAAATATACATAGCCAAATTTACACTATTTCAAAAATTTCTACATGTACAATTCAGTGACATCGATTACATTCTTCCAGCTGTGCCGCTATTCTCACTATCCTTTTCCAAATTATTCCATCACCATTATCTTCAATTCACTGCCCCCTAGACTTCCCATCAAACCTTTTGAATTGCTGTTGTCAATTTGATAGCACATAGATAATTTTTTTTTTGTGTGTGCCTTAGATGAAGGTTTGCAGAACAAATAGTTTCTCATTAAATAGTTAGTATACATATTGCCCTATGACGATGGTTAACAACCCCATGATATGTCAACATTGTCCCTTTTCAAACTTGGGTTCCCTATCACCACCTTTCCTGTCCCCTCCTGCCTTCTAGTCCTTGTCCCTGGACTGCTGTGCCACATTAGTCCCATTTTGTTTTATGAGGCTGTCCAATCCCTGGCTGAATGGTGAACTTCGGGAGTGACTTCACCACTGAGCTAAAAGGGTGTCCGGGGGCCATACTCTTGGGGTTTCTCCAGTATGTCAGGCTAGTAAATCTGGTCTTTTTTTGT